TTTGATGAAGTAATAAGAAAAAATATGAAAGGATAGATGAAAAGCACTTTATCAGAGGCCTTAAAACAAGTTTCCCTTTTATTTCATGCATATTTGTACTGTTGTTTAGTTTTTTTCTTTTTAAGACACTTTTCCTTGTTGAAAATACGTTGCACTATTCTTTGGATTCCTAACCCACTGCTGAAGTCAGATGACAACACATTTGCAGCTCTTGGCACCCCAATCCCCTGCTGTCAGGATTGTAAATGATGCCACTTTTCAACAAAGCAGCGATCCAGTGAGGGGATTAGAGGCATGAATTTTAACCGACAAAAAAAAAAATGAATTTGAAGGTAACATGATGCTTTTTCAGTGACTGTGTTCTGAGAATACTGGTGCTAGCAAGATTAGAGGTGCAGCTGCTTGTCTTATTTGCCAGGGTAAGTGGAAATCACCAAATACCTCATCGGCTGTGCTTAGAGTCCTAATGGAATAAATAGTAAAGTGTGAATGAGTTTGTTCCTTCTCTATTGGCTTCTACGCTATCACAGCTTGCTTCTACTCTCTGAGAAATAATTGAATTGATGTTGTGGGGGAGGCGGCAAGGAATAATACTGCTATGGCTAGTTAACACAGAAACTTTGTAGCATCTACATTGGATCTGCTGTGGCAATGCATTACTCACCATACCACGGTCTATGTTGAGTTTAGGCATGAAGTCTGTGTTATTGTAAACAGTAAGCTCTCTCTTTCACATTTTATGTTTGGCAGAGGTTACATGCTTCTTTAAGATTTTGATGAAAGTAAGTATGTGTGTATCTATTTCTGGACAAATAACTTAAAAATGGGGGGAAGTAATATTTAATTTGATTCCTTTATGTAATCTTTATTCCAAGGAGGGGAATCTGCTGTTGCCAAAGACCACATTGGTGTCCTCACTCTAGAAACTGTGCAAGCCAAGATGATGAGTGAGACAGAAGACGCAAGCTTTATATCGCTATGAGAAATGGTGCTCTTTGGGCCCTGCTTGTAGCTTGGAGATGATCAAGGAGAATCAATGTGCCTCAGAACCGGGAGGATTTTTAGGATTTAGAATTTATTTAACTCCTTTTATTCTAATCGAGTAATTCTATTTCGTTATTTTAATAATACATTATACATATTTTCTTAATTCATACATTCATTTAATGTTTATGAAATTATTTGTTGTCAATTCATTGATTATTTTTGTAACTATTTGAATATGAAAAATAAGAGTGCTCAATGGAAAAGCAGTATTGATTAGTATATGTAGACCACTGAATGAGAACAGGTGGTTAATGATACTTCTGCATTATTTAATTATAAGATTTATATAATATCTTTAGTGTTACAACTGAGAGCAAAGAATCATAGTTGCCTATGTGATTTTTTTTTGTCTGCAGTGGGAAATTTAACAAATACTACATTGCAGCCATGAATACCTTTTATGATTACTTATTATGTATGTCTGATTAAATCCTAATCATTAAGATCTCAGTTCAAATATCATTTCGGTTTCATAGTTCCCACTTTCCAGGAGTGAATTAGATTTTGCCATTATCATCTCTTGTCTTTCTTAGTTCATTCTGGGTGCTGTAACAAAAGACCGTACACTGGGTATCTCATAAACAAGGGAAATTTACTTCTCCCAGTCCTGGAGACTGGAAAGTCCAAAAACAAGGCACCAAGAGATTTTGGTGTCTGCTGAGGGGCCATTTCCTGGTTCCTAGCTGGTGCCTTCTCCCTATGCCCTCAGATGGTAAAAGGAGGCGAGACAGCTCTCTGGAGTCTCTTTTAAAAGGGCACTGACCTCATTCACAAGGACTCTGCCCTTATGATCTAGTCACCTTCCAAAGGTCCTATATCCCAGTATCATCATATTGTGATTCGATTTCAACTTGTGAATTTTGAGGAAGCACATTCAGACCATAGCATCTCTCAACCTTATGCACCTTTGTTCATCTCCTTTGCACTGCCAGGAACTTACTTTATCCATGTAAGCAACTGACTAACTTCAGTCTATTGAATCAAAAGGTCACTTTTGTTTGCTTGTTTTACACCATCAATCCCCACCTTCTAGGAAGGTGAATGACATTAACACATGATAAAGGTTCAATAAATATATGAATTTATGTAAATAAAATAATAAATATATCAACAGAAAATTGCCTTTTAAGGAAATTATAATGGAAGAAAAACATAAAACACTATTATAACATAACACTATTATGAATCAAATATAACCATCCATATGATAGAAATAAGCATATGATGCTATGAGAGAACCATAGAGAAGTCTCTGATTCTAGTTTGGTGGCTACCAGGAAGGGCTGTGACTAGAACATTCTCTTGGTTGTATTCCATCCTCCACAGCTACCTCTGGCATCCTTGCTATAGCAATCCCATTCTCTCTGGTGCATAAACATATTTGGTTTATTTTGTTTATTCTAAGATCCTCTATAAAAGCTTATTAACTTTGGATTTAAAATAATGTATATTCCACTGCAAAGGGAGGAAATCAGAAAGAGATGATCTTAGAGATAAAAGTAAATTGTGCAGAAGAGAAACGAGTTGAGACAATTTCTACATGATTATCTTTTCTTCTCTGATAGGATGTAGTGAAGTTTATTCCTGAAGATGATGACAAAGAGATTTTAAGGAGAACACTAAAGATTTACAGTGTTTCCTGAGCAGAATGTGACAAAAGATTATTAGGTTACGTGAAAAGATTTCCATGATGAATTAAAGACCACTGGATGTAGCTATAACAGGTCTTTTACTAGCATTAATACAAATGCTTATGTAATTTCTCTTTAGATGTGCTATTCAATGTTTTTCTTTTCTTGTACTATTACATTGAATAAAATTTGTAAAAGAATTTAAATGAAAAATTTGTTTTGTTTTTAACTTTACTGACAATTATGTGGAATTGTTTAATATTGTGTTAGCTGTTTGGGTATGAATTATATCTTTAATTTTGATATGGGTACTGTATTCCAGGAATCATTTAAGAAGTCTGTCCTATCTTGAAAGAATAAAAGACTATCTTTTTTTTTTTCTACTTTTTTTTTTGTTTCTTTTTTCTTTTTCTTTCTTTTTTTTTTTTAATTTCAGCATATTATGGGGGTACAGATTTTAAGGTTTCAATAAATGCCCATTTCCCCCCCTCCCCCAAGACTATCTTATATAACATAAATTACTTAATTTTTTATAGTATTTACTGATATAATTATACTTTTTAGAATAATACATTAATGGATTGATTGATGTATATAAAGCTCTTAATGCTGAATCATCCTATTTCTAGGTTAAAATTTAATTGATAATTGTCTATTTTCATCACCACATTTGATTTAGATAATTATTATGTTTGAGATTTCTCCATTTTTTTTTCTCTTAGTTTGGAATCTTCATCTATTTTGTTATTAATACTTGTTTAAGGCTATCCTTAACCCTACAAATTGTATGCTCACCTCATGAGTTGGTTTTAGAATTATTCTTTTTACATCCTATAAAATATTTCACCACCTTCTTACTTTTGCTAAAACTTATTTATTACACCACTAGTTTTTTTATGTATAGTTTGATAATTCTTTTTGTTTCTTTTTTTATATTTTTATTTTTTTTAATTCACTATATTATGGGAGTACAAACATTTTGGTTACATGAAATGCATTTTCATCACTCAAGTCAGGGCCACAGGAGTGTACTTCCCTCATGCAGTGTGCCCTGTCTCCATTAGCTATGAGTTTACCCACCCTACCTGCTCTACCCCCACTCCCCCAATTCCCCACACTCCCACTTGACCAGCACCCAGTGAGTATTACTAGCATGTGAGCATCTTAGTGTTGATCAATTAGTACCAATTTGATGGCAAGTACATGTGGTGCATATTTTTCCATCCTTGTGATATCTCACTTCGAAAGATCATCTCAAGCTCTATCCAGGATAAGAGGTGCTAGATCACCATTGTTTTTTTGTAGTTGAGTAGTACTCCAGGGTATACATATAGCACATTTTATTAATCCACTCATGTATTGATGGGCATTTGAGTCATTTCCATATCTTCGTAATTGTAAATTGTGCTGCTATAAACATTTGAGTGAAGATGTCTTTATTATAGAATGTCTTTTTTTCTTTTGGATAGATGCCTAGTGGTGGGATTGTTGGATCAAATGGTATTTCTATTTTTAGTTCTTTCAGGTATCTCCAAATTACTTTCCACAGCAGTTTTACTAATTTGCAGTCCCACCAGCAGTATAAGAGTGTTCCAATCTCTCCACATCCATGCTAGCATTTGTTATTTTGGGACTTTTTGATAGAGACCATTCTCACTGGAGTTAGACATCTCATTGTAGTTTTGATTTGCATTTGCCTAATGATTAGAGATGCTAAACACTTTTTTATATGCTCGCTGGCCATTATTCTATCTTAAACTGGATATCCACATGCAGAAGAAGGAAACTAGATCCCTCTCACCTCTCACAAAAATCAACTCATGCTGGATAACAGACTTAAGCCTAAGGTGTGAAACCTTAAGAATTCTGGAAGAAAATGTGGGGAAGACTCTTTTAGCATTGGCTTAGGTAAAGAATTTAAGAAGAAGACCCCCAAAGCAATCACAGCAGCAACAAAAATAAATAAATGGGAACTAATCAAATGAAAAAGCTTCTACATAGCCAAGGAAACTGTCTTTAGAGTGAATAGACAACCTACAGAATGGGAGAAAATATTCACTTTCTACACATCCAATAAAGGGCTTATAACAAGAATCTATATAGAACTTAAGAAAAGCAACAGGAAAAAAATCAAACAACCTCATCAATTAATGGGCAAAGGACAAGATCATCACTATTAAATATTCAATCAGAGAGGGAACTATATGTATATGGTTGAGTCAAATGACCAATATTCACATGTTCCAGTTTCTGCTGCTTGTTAGCTTGGGCCTAAGTAATAGGACCAAAAATAAAAAAATAAAAAAAAAATTTGTAACTCACAGTTATTGGTAAGATGAAATCTGGCAGTTCCAAGAAACCCATTTGGATATCAATACATTTCTGCAATAGAGAAACGAGTCAGTGGAAATTGTGTAAAAATTTTTAAAACTATGTTAGCTCTTTCAGGCCACTGTGATATAGTTTAAGGTTTTCAACTTCAGTGAGCTAAGTAGTATAATAATGGTGCTTATTTCATAAAATATACCTTGTTGCTAGGCACTCTTGGTACAAGCAAACACTTCCAATTACATGATATCACTTGCTCTAAAATATTCTGTTGCTTCTGAAAAATAGTTTTTCTAAAGACCATGCAGACTCTTCTCTGAAACAGTCAGGAAAAGGTATTTTGGAGATATTGAAGCAACAGAAATAACATAGACAGTGAAGTCAAACACATATTATGATGGTACCAATTACCAGCTGTATGAAATTTTGTAAGTTACTTAATATTTCTGGACTTTAGTCTCTCTATTTGTTTAACATGGGCAATTATATTCTCGTTGCTGAGTTATTGCGAGGTTTAGAGTAAACCCATATACAGTGGCTGACATATGGTAGGCACTTCATAAATGGACACTAGGTGAATAAAATGTTACATATGATTTAAAATATGTCTTCAAAATTAGCTATGGTCTAATTTTAAACTATTTTATTTTTTCATAGTTTTCTAATGGATCATTGATTTATCAGCAATGAACAAATATACTGAAATGCAGAGGCAACTTGATTAGCTGTTGGTTAGTGAAGAACTCCATCAAAGACTACAACAGAAATTTGCATTTAGGGAAATAAAACATGGTGGAAATGTTGTTTCGGAACTCTAACGATCCACTGCCATATCCAAAGGAAAAACTGAGTTTTACCATAAAGATTAGAAAACACTAAGCCTCAAGCTCTCCCAGGGCAGTCATCAAGGCTTATTTACTCTAATATTCTCTAGTGTCTGTAACAGTGTCTAATGGACAATATTCAGTGCAAGAAAACTAAAGATAAGCTAATGTCTAGTTTTCAAAAGGTATCTACCAATGGATGTCGTATTAATGCTGAATACACTTTTTGGACATATTACCTATAGTTGATTTGTAAACTTCAATTGGAGCTAGATGCCATGACTAAAAGGCATTTTAATTTCAATAAGACTAGCACATCCCAAGCAGATTTTACTCTTTCTTGATGGGCAGTTCCAGACTAGGGTACCATAGAAATGCTGTATTGTATAATTACTATGTTTGTTCCGCATGAGTGTTTTCTAAATCTTTTCTGACAGTCTTATAAACAAAGAAAGCAGAAGAACAGGCTACATATACCTACAATTAAGGAAATTTGTAATTTTATGAATAACTTTGCTTAAGAAGGTTCATTTACAGATCATCATCAATCTGAAGGAAATTTCAGGTGTGCCTTCAATCAATAATACACAACATCTGCTCTGATTACATTAATGAAGAAATACATGACATATTTATTCAACTATTGAATAAAAAGCTGGAAGGAGTATAAAATTCATTGAATAAAAAGGCTTTGATTCCTCTTTATTTTTTTTAGCCTAGGAAAATGATTCAATTCCAACAAAATAATTTAATAAGTGTTAAGTTGCACCCTCAGAAAATTTATCAATGACATTAGACCAGGTTAGGTGTTCTTATTATATGCTTTCATAATACACTATATACCATTTATTAAAAATATATAACTTATAATCCTTAACAATTAGTAATTATTTGTTAATGTCACTTTTGCCCATCAGACTTCTCCTTGGAAACGGGTTATTTTTTCGTTCATATCTGAATCCCTCTGACTAGTGCTATGATTAGCACATGATAGATAGATATTCAATAAATTTGTGTTGATCAATTTATTACAGTTTAAGATATAAAATTTTTGCATTTTATGATCTGTGGCATTAAAAATATTAGGGTTTTTGCTTATTTCTAAGGCATTACTTTATTTCATTGATTATGCGTAGGTTTGACCTGAAGACCAAGTCCTAATTGAATGGAAATATATGATGTCCATATTACATATTTCCTCTTCAGAATCTCCACACTTATTGACAGAAATACCAGGAAGAAATTAGGCTCAGAGAAAGCAACTGAAAACAAAATGTAATAGCTAGCTGCGTTTTATAGTCATTGGCTATATGTTTGAGGACGACAATAACTTAGAACCCTATTAATTAAATAATAAAGTAATTTATTCTCTGTTTCAGTATGTCTCCCTAAATAGACAATATGTTTGAAACATTCTAAATTGTTCTTTGTTACTTGGACTTCTTAAAAACTACTTCCATGACTTTTTAGTAAAAGCCATTCTAACAGGGGTAAGGTGATATCTCATTGTGGTATTAATTTGCATTTCCCTGAATGATTAGTGATATTGAGCATTTTTTCTTATGTTTATGGGCCATTTGTCTATATTTTTTTAAAAAAACTCTGTTCATGTCTTTTGCCAATTTTTCAGTGGTGTTGTTTGAGATGTGGAATCAATCTAAGTGCCTATCAATTAATAAGTGAATTAACAAAATGTCATACATGTACACCGTAGAGTATTAGTCAGAAAAAAGGATGAATTAATGCATTTTCCAACAGTTTGGATGGAACTGGAGACCATTCTTCTAAGTGGAGTATGTCAAGAATGGAAAAACTAACTCCTCATGTACTGGCTATTAAGTTGAAACTAAACGATAAGTACACATGTGCACAGAGGGAAGTACAATTCAGTGGACATCAAGCCGGGGGTGGGGGGAAGGAGGGGATGAATGGAAACCTACCCAATGGATACGAATGAAAATGATTTGTGTGATGGGCATAATTGTAATCATGATGCAAGCATTACAAAAGTGATCCATGTTACCAAAAACATTTGTACCCGCATAATATTTTGAAATAAATAAATATATATATAGGAAGCATCCAGAATATGGCACACATGATAGAAGGAAAAGAATAAAACTTTCCATGGTGAGATTCTGATAATTTATAAAATAGCAGCACTAAAAAAAGGTTTCCAATGTTATCTATCATTACTTTCTGCCTTAAATAAGAAAATGGCAATAAAGACTCTCATTCCATTTTTTGATGTTGCTGACATCTTTTAAGCCTTGCCCATACCACTTCCTTTTTCTGCTTCACATTTGGGAGACCTGATAAAAGAGCCAGAGCCTTCCCATTTACCATTGATGAAAGATTCAAACCATGAAAGTCACTGCCTGTGCACAGAAATCTTAACCCTGGCCACAGCCCCTGAGCATAATAAAAAACCCATACCCAGTCTCCATTCCCTGCTCTCTGGAGGTGTTTTCAGATCAGCTTGAGAGGCTTGTCCTGCTGTCCCCAGAAAAGCCCCATATGTACGAGACATTCCTTTCACACTGTGCTGGTGTTTATGTTTGTGTGTGGCATCTTCAGTCTTATCATTTGGACCAAATTTTGGGAGGGTGTCTATTCTACCCCTTTAGATTGCTAAAAAACATACGGATAAACTAGAAAATATCATCACTATTCTATAAAAATATAGAAATAAAGATTACCCAAGAACTTTTAATGTGTGCACAGAGAGGTAAATATTATAAACAAGAATATTATCTTTATTATTAACAGATTTTGTTTAGAATTAATTTCTCTACATGTTCTTGGTTTAGGTTTCTCTCTCTTGCATTCTCTTAAAAATTAAACTTTCTGAACAACATGCATTTTATTTTTCTTTAACCATACCTTTATACCTCTTCAGTGCTATTCCTTGAAATGCAGCAGTTTTACATACCTTCTCAAGAAATTATAGTAGTAATACTCCACAGAGGTCTTAGTATTAAAGGAACACTTACCATTGCTTTCTCTTACACATTTGCACTAATAAATTTCTATAAAATTAGTATTTTAAATAACAAATTCTATACTTTTCAATCATGATCAATTTATGACCTGATTATTTCTGATTAAATAGCTTCTAGTTAGACATTCACATATTATCAGCCATTTTAATACTTTTTTGTCAGTTCCTATTTACTTTGTTTTGTACCATTAAATTTCACTTAGCAATTTGATTCTATCTGACATGCAATGGATTAGAAAAGTGAATGTTTAAGTAATTACTAGTAAGATAGATGTTAACATGAATTTGGATGTAGTTTTAGAGATATGTTTTATAGAAGATAGATCTACGCAATTATGACGGTCAGAATTTTATATGACAACAATATTCATTTGCTGTGAATTCCTAGGGAAGACATGTAGAAACCAATACAGCCATGGATCATTGCAATTAGTCTTCACTAAAATTTGGTCCATGGTCCAACACATGTTGTACATGTGTTAAAAACTATTTAAAGAATTTCTGTTGTACGTTTTAATCAAATTCCTAAGAAACCTGAGTTCTATTACAAAAACATCTGCACCCGAATGTTTATGGCGGCACAATTCATGATTGCACGGTCATGGAAACCACCCAAGTGCCCATCAACTCATGAGTGGATAATTAAAATTTGATATATGCTCACAATGGAATATTACTCAATTCTAAGAAACGACAGTGAGCTTGCACCGTTTATGCTACCCTGGATTAAGCTTAAGCCCATTATCCAAAATGAGGTGACACAAGATCTGGAAAATGGGCTCCACATCTACTCACCATCAAATTGGTACTGACTGACTAAAACTGTGATGCTTAAATGGTGGTAGTGCTCACCAGGGATTCGGAGAGGGGGTACCCACATCTTAGGGATGTGGCGAGCATTGTAGAGGGGAAGGGCTTCTTCCTTCTTAGGGAGAGGCAAAAATATACAATGTAACCAAAATGCCAAAAACAAAAACTTTTATCAGGTGGTGGGCAGGTGGGAGGAGGGAGGAGGAAAAGGGTGTATTCTTACATAATGAGTGTGATGCACACCACCTGGGGATTGGACACGCTTGAAGCTCTGGCATGGGGGGAGACAGGGGCATTATATGTAACCCTAACAATATTTGTACCCCCATAATATGATGAAATAAAAGGAGGAAAAATAATTAACAAAAAACGAAACCTAGTTCCTAACTCATAGGTTCTTATGAGAATTAAAATATTTA